GGGTCTCCCTTCATGGTGAGCCATGGCTGCCTGCACCCAGTGATCTCAAGGTATAATCACAAGAGTGAAAACAAGACCCTACCCTGCGTCACACACACAACAACTGGGCCATTAAAGGAGGACAGAGAGGCAGAGGAAGAAAAAGGGGCGGATGGGGTTCACCATCAGGCACTTCCGGACCAAAACCATTGAACAGGCCACCTCCCTGTGTTCTCAAATCCAGCACCCGCACTTGCCCTTGGTATCAGTGCCTCCTTGAATGGAACTCATGTGCTTCAAGGAGCTCTGAAGATCACACTGGAACATTGTCTGTGACCTGCACACAGAGCTTCCCTCCTACCCTGTTTCAGCCCTGTACCTGCCAGCCACAGACACACTGCTGAATGCCCTGCCTCTCCCACAGTGCCCTGTGTGAGGAGACCTGCCTGGATAAGGGCCTGACGCTACTCCTTCTAGCAAGGCTTGAGCCCGATTGACTCCATGGAGCAGAGCTGCCCAGTGACCTCAGCTCTTCCCCAGGGACCGTGACAACAAAGAAGAACCAGTGATCTTCTACAAGCTGCTGCCTGGGACCTCTTTGAGCTTCGTCTCTTCCTACTGATTCCTCATGGTCCCAAGAGGCACAGAAATTGTGATGAGCAGCAGAGATGGCAAACCAAGGCAAGAGCCACCAATGAAAGCAGCCATTCCCAGAGAAGGAACGTTGGCACCTGGGACACCAAACAGTCTCCACCTGGGGCCTCAGATCAATCCTAGTCCCATGAGATCATCTCTTGTGGGTCCTTAACTTGAAGTCCATAGGTTAGAATACTTGTATGCAAGATTTTAAAATGTATGTCTTCATCGTTGTTAATTTTGATCAACTGGGTATAAAATTATTTATAATTATACATCTTCCTACTGCGGTAAGGATAAAATTATTCTGAGTTTTTTCCTTTAGTAATCAGCTCTTAAACTTCACATCTAATACAACATTTTCCTCAATATTTATACGCTTAAATTTCTTTTTAAAAATTTATTTATTTAGCATTTCAGTGTGATATAGAGCGGGAGAGACAAAGAGATATTTGTTATCCTCTGTTGCACTGGCCCCAGTGCCTGCATAACTGGGGCTAAAGTAAGCCTAATGTAGGATTCCAAACTCTGTGCCTGACTCCGATGGGAGTGGCAGGGGCCCAAATACCTGTGCTATCTTCTATTGCTTTCCTAGGCACATTAACAGGGAGCTGGAAGGAAAGAGGAGCAAGCTGACTCAAACAAGTGGACAATAAGAGATGCTCACCCTACAAGGATCAGCCTAATCCATGCCACCATGATTGTTATGACTGATAGGGCCAAAACGAAGGAATGCCACACATTGTTAAGACCTGAAAATCAGGGAGCTGGATGGGAAGTGGGGCTCCTGGGATTAGAACCGGCGCCCATATGGGGTCCTGGTGCGTTCAACGTGAGGATTTTAGCCACTGAGGCTTGGACTTTTTGCTTCCCAGGTTTCATGGTTGTGACTGGGAGAACTAAGGCTGGGCCGATCTTGAGGCTTGGTATTTTGGCTCTGTGCATAGCCGCCATGAGGTGGGTAGATCTTGAGCTGGTCTGTGTTTGAACCTTGGGATTTTTTCTTTGCACACTGCTATCATGCTGTGGGTGGATCTTGAGGCGGTCCGGGCTTGAACCTCAGGATATTGGCTTCATCCACCACTGCTATGCTGTGGGTAGATCAAGAGCTTGCCTGTGTGGCTGTGGCCAAGGGAACTCGGGTGGCCCTGGTGCCAATGATGCCAGGTGAACCCCTCAAGCCGACTGGTAGTGTGCTCTGGGGACTTGGGGATGGCACAATTAGATTGAGGGTTCATGTCTAGCTGAGGAATGACTTCTGAGGGACTTCCATGGACAAGGCTACTGTTCTCAAAGTGTTGTCATGAAACCCACCAGCAAGTATCAGAACGGGACACTGTGAGGCTGGGCCATGAAGCCAACAAATACATGAGTGAATCAGGTCTGGAGGTAGAATCTGCAGTGCAATATGTAGGCTCCCTCATGTACAAAAGCAATCTTCATTGGCATGTGCAAGTACTGGGCTGGGAATAGGCCTGGTTGGGGAGCTCAGGGGACGCCCCAGCTGAGCTAGAATTCCCACTGGTGAATGCAAGTGCCAGAATCAGTGCATTGTCCTGGGATGAACATGGCTGCAATCTCCCTTGGCACAGGTGTGGCCTGGGTCTGGGGAGGGCCAGGCTGGGCTAGACTCTAGGACCCCACTGGTACTCATGAGAGTCAGGATGCATGGAGAATGGGCTGGGCTAGGCCTCATCTCCTGCTGAACCATGTTAGAACTGTCTGGGCATGGGCCAAGTGAGGCTGGACTGCAACACCCAACAATATGAGCCAGAAAAGGTATGGGCCGATTGGGCAGTGACATTGTTCCTGCCAGAACAAGAGGTGCACGAAGTCAACCTAGGCCAGGCACCCACCAGTATGTACAAGATCTGCCACAGGGAGGAGACTGGATAGAGGAGCTTGGTGACCTCCTATGTCAGGTTGCAGTCCCTGTAGGTGAATGTAAAACCAAGGCAAAGAGCAGCCCAAACCAGGCCAGGTTGCAGTACCCGCTGGCACACATGTGGGTCATGTCTGGGTGTGTGCCAGGCCATGCCAAATCATAACATCCATTTACAGATGGGGTGTGGGAGGTGCTGAGTTGGGCTACAACAGCAGCCAGTTCACACTGGAGCTGGGACAGGGAGTGCTGATTGTGCAAGGTTATGCTACAGCACCAACCAGCATAAGCTGGAACTGGGGTTAGGCTGGACCAAACCAGGATGAAGAACCCACTGGCAGATGTTGAGGTGAGCTGAGCCATGACAGTCTGGAGGTGGTTGGTGTCAGGTTCATAAACTCTGGGGGTATTGGGTCCAAGCAGTTCTTGGTTCACATGACCTGGGGCCTTGAGCCCACCTGCACAGTGAGTGCTGGATCCATGAGCCCCACAGGGGTGGGGGTCCAGAGGACCCTGGATTTCCTGGCCTAGGTCCTTGGGCCTGCCTGAGTGGCGGGGATCAGGTCCTTGAGCTTGGGTGTTGAGGGTCTGGTGGATTCTGGGTCACAGTCCTGAACTGTGGCACCTGGAATGGCCAAGGTCACCTGACTTAGGACCATGAACTTACCTGGGAGAACTGGTCCTCCACACTGTAGAGGATGGAGTGCTGGACGGCATACCATGGTGCCAATGGAGGACATGGTAGCTAATGGGGCCCCATCAGCAGAGATCATCTGGTATCATAGCAGAGAATTAAGAACAGGACATATGGATAACTATGCCAGCCAAACAATGACAGCAAATCCCTGCCTGAGGTGAGGTCAATGGTGTCAGCCAATGGACATTGGAAGGGATTTCTCATCTACAGATCAGCGAGATTGACAGCATTTCGGAACTATCACATCCACCTGGGCAAAACCTTCACAACATGCACCATTGTGACTCGGAGTTGATATCAGGTGGCCTTTCCCCATCCACAGGCACTGGCATGGTTAGAAGGCTGGCTATGGCCTATCCTCTTATCTCCCCACTCCCCCAAGAAATGGGAAGAAGACATACAAAACTTGGAAACAATGATCACACTTACTTCCTCCTAACCCTGGATCCTTCCCATCCTGATGGACTATGTAAACGTCATCTAAAATTAAAATTTCAAAAAAAAATAAAAGAGGGTTATTTATTTAAAAGAGTTACAGAGAGAGAAAAGAGAGGGAGGGAGGAGGGTGAAAGGGTGGGAGGAGAATTTTCCAGCTGCTGTTTCATTCCCCATTGAATGGCCTCAGCCAGAGCTGGGGAGATCATCCTGGTGTCCCATTGGGAAGTCTGGACCCCATGCACTTGGGCCATCTTCTGCTGCTTTCCTAGGCCAGTAGCAGGGAGCTGGATGGGAAGAAGATCTGGCCCTTGGCTTTGAGCTTTGAAGGAGTGCAGAGCCCTAAGACTCCATGGCCCCTTAAAGACCCTGCTTCTGCCTTGGAGAGGAACTGGTCACTCCAACCAGATGCATCCAAAGCCAGCCACCTGGCAGGGAGGCTCTTGTGTACCTGCCCCCTTACTGGAGCAAAATAGGATTCAGCTACTTTACATAATCCTTAAACACCTCAGGGAACTCAGTTGCTCCAGTTCCTTATGGGAAGAGGGAGGTCACCCTTACTGTCCCTGCCCCTGGTCAAGGGGCACCCCATCCTGGTCTGGCCCAGCAGCCTGTCTTCCCAGAATCCAGAGTGGGAGGTGGTGCTCCTCCCTGGGATGAGGACTGAGCCAAGTACCCGGCTCACAGAGACAGTAAGGAAACTGCGTGGCAGCTTAAAGGCCTGGCATTACTTTCAAGGGAACTGCCAAAGCCTGGGGCCCAGCAGGCGGTAAGCGAGGGGCGGGAGCCTCAAGGAGGGCTTGCGGGCATTGCCAGTGCTGGGCCAGCACTTGGCTTTGGTCTGCAGGCCTCCAACTGTCCCCGAATCCTGGCTGCAGACTCAGCTCTGGTTCATTCTTGTGGGTGGGGCAGAGCTAAGCATCACCAGGCTGCAAGCCCTCAGTGCTGCCTGGAATTCGTGGCGGGGCGGCGCGGGGCGGGTTCACAGAAGCCACTCCCCTCAACAGCCCCTGACGCGACAAAAGAACCCCAGGCTCCTCTGCGAAAGCCCAGTCTCCCAGGTCTCAGTAGCAGCAGCAACATGCCTGTAACGCTGGGTTACTGGGATCTCCGCGGGGTGAGTGAGGGGGCTGCCCGGCGGGAGGGACGTGGGCTTGAACGTGGGGTGGGGGCGGAGAGCGAAAAGCAGCTTGGGAAGACTCCACCTAGGCAGGCTCCCAGGAATTCCCAGTACAGGCATCCCAGAGTGGGGGAGGGGCAGCAGGCGCCTGAATCCTATTAGGTATAGAGTTGGAGGGCTCCCCTGGAGGAGATGGGGGCAGCAGTCGGGGGCCATAAAATCTCTGATCTCTGCTCTGGACCATTCCCCAGCTGGCTCACTCCATCCGCCTGCTCCTGGAGTATACGGACACCAGCTATGAGGAAAAGAAATACAAGTTGGGCGATGGTAAGGTCCTGCCTGCTCTGCCTCTGCCCTCTGCATCTGTCACCTAGTAGTAACCCCTGTCTGGCCACCTGTGGCTCACCGGTGCATCCTCTAACAGCTGGAATGGAGTCTGAGGATGGCCTCCAGAGGCAGGGCTCTGGGAAGGGGTGCTGGGAATGTGTTTCGGCATTGAGTCCTTTTCCACACAGCTTACAAGCTTTGTGGTTCAGAGCCTTTACAATCATTCTTTCCCCTTCCCCCAGATGTTGAATGTGAGATGAGGGGCTCAGATCCCACGTGTCCTGCCCCTGACTCTTTGGGAGGGTCCAAGGAAAGAGGCTACACATGGGGGAGGTTTTGTTTCTCTTGGTCTTTCCCACAGCTCCCGACTATGACCGAAGCCACTGGCTGAATGAGAAATTCAAGCTGGGCCTGGACTTCCCCAATGTAAGTACAGGGGATGGGGTGCTCTGAGGGCAGGGGAGTGCAAGGTGTCTCTCTGCCTCCACATCCTTCCCAAGCTTAGAGGTTTCAGGACCAGGACCTTGTGCTCAGCCGCTGTCATTCCCGGTTCTCTACAAGGCTTTTCCACTGGCTTCTATGTCATAGCTCACTCATTGCTTGTACAGATGTGTCTCTGGAGCCTGCCTTGCTCTATACACAGAGAATGCCAAGTCCCCTGTGTGCCCTTGTTCAGGGCAGGGGATGCTGGGCACCTGGGAACCCAGCTGACTTCCCTCCTCCCTCCCCAGCTGCCCTACCTGATTGACGGCACTCACAAGCTCACCCAGAGCAATGCCATTGTGCGCTACCTCGGCCGCAAGCACAACCTGTGTGAGTGGGGCTGTCTGAGGGCGTGGGGCTGTGGCTGTGCCCTGGGCCTGGCTGTGTGGGATGCTGAGGGTGTCTGCTGTGTGTGCTGTGTGTGCTGCAGGTGGGGAGACGGAAGAGGAGAAGATTCGCGTGGACATTTTGGAGAACCAGGCTATGGACAACCGCATGCAACTCATTACGATCTGCTACAACTCTGACTTTGTGAGTACCCCACTGGACAGGACCTGATGGGTTCAGTGAGGAACTAATTAACCTCTTGTGTTCTCATCGGCACTGCTCCTGTTTGCTACTAAACTCCCTAGGGAGAATGATTCTCCAAGCAATTTCCTATCTGACCAACACATTGATTCTGTAGTCTAAGCCTTGGGAAATAAAATCTGAGCAAGGTCCTACAGCAGCCCAATGATTCTAGGTCAACAGTCAGGTGTAAGAAAATTTGCTTCAAACTCCCATTTGTGCCTAAACTTTGACTCTTACCATGGCCATATTTCATTGTGTTTCTGTCATGTACCAGTGTCTGGATGTGCAGTATTGTTGTAGACATTAATTCAAGATGGGGGCATCTGCCATTTTTTCTCAGGGTTCTCTCTGTGTCCCACAGGGATAAGCATATTTCCCCAGTGGGGAGCCCGGGGTCACCCAGAGGTCCTGGGTTCCTTTCCCTTCAACCTTGCAGATCACATTCTCATCCTTTGTGAGCTGTGCACATGCCTCTAGCATTCTCCTGCCAGCCCACCAGGTAGAGTTTCGTCTTCTTTGCCAAGGTCTTTTAGTTCTCTGCCTCTTTGCTTTCACCCCCAGCTGAGTCTGAGGGAACCTACACTCATGGCACCCCTGGGAGTGACCCACAGCAGGATGCTTGGACATCAGAGGTGACACATTCAGGGACAGAACTGGACTTCTATGTGATTTCTGGTAGTCTCCCACAGATGGGATGGGGGCCGGTGGGAGTCTCTCAGATGCTGATGAATGAAATCCGAGGAGGAACACAGACCCTGTGCCACACTCAGTGAGGATGCTCCCCTGGCCAGCGGGGCCATGTGCAGCCCTGACAGGCAGCCCCTCTCCCCAAAGTTGTGCCTGTGGGTGCTGACAGCCTTTTGTTCTATCAGGAGAAGCTGAAGCCTGACTACCTCAAGGGCCTCCCAGACAAGCTGACACTGTACTCCCAGTTCCTGGGGAAGCGGCCCTGGTTTGCAGGGGACAAGGTGAGACCGAGGGAGGGAGGGAGGCAGGAGCAGGGGGCATGGTCGGTTTCCTCTGGTCCTGAGCTCTCTCCTCCTGGCTTCTGCAGATCACCATTGCTGATTTCCATGTTTATGATGTCTTGGATGAGAACCGTATTTTTGCTCCTGGTTGCCTGGATGCATTCCCAAACCTGAAGGATTTCATGGCCAGATTTGAGGTGACTCCCTGATCCTTCTCTCCACTTTTCCAGTTCCTTCATGCCCTCTGAGTCCTGGAGCTGAGCTGCAGACCAACCCCTGACAGCAAGACCCATAAGGACTCATAAGGAACCTGAGTCAGTAGGGGGAAAGCCACTTGTCAGGTTCCCAGAGCCCATCACAGCTGTGCTTGGCTCCCAGTAACCCCTCATGTGTAGGGGCAGCAGTCAGGCTTCTCTGAATCTTGTGCTACAAGGAGCAGCCTCAGACCTTTGTCTTGTCTCCCACCCATGGAGACTGTAGGAGAGGCCTCTCTTTTTAGCGGGCATCAGGGTGTGAGATGTGTTAGAATTGAGTTTCAGTGTCAGACACAGAACTCCATGTGCTTGATTGCCTGAGCAGTTGAAGCAATCAGGTCCCTATGTGGAAGCAATGAGCTGCTCAACTTGTGTTGTTGTTGTAGAATCTCAGTAGTCACAGGGGTGCCCCAAGTGCACATTCTTGTCTTAAAGAATTGGTAGTGAAAATTTTCTTTCACTTTTTTTTTTTCTCATTCAAGTGTCCCACGTGTTCTGTCTGTGACATTTTGCAGATCCCTGATGTTTAATTTTATGTGTGTGGAAAGGTGACTCCTTGCTGGAGCTGAGGCCAGTTAGAGAACTGCAGGCACAGCAGGTGGGAGGGAAGGGGTAACACAGGGGCACACCATAAGCCACACCTCTCAGTGTCCCGTCAGTCACCCTGGGTCATCTAGTTTGCGATAAAGTCTACTTGATCACGTTTTCGATGTCTGAGGTTTGGGTTCACAAGTTATTCATTCTACATTATTACATTATTTGTACCGTTCCTTCCATTGGAAAGATGTGCCCGTTCAGTTCCTTCTCGTTAGCTCTGGATCAGGTCCAGTCCTGTGACATTGGGGATTATGCAACAGTTGCTCAGCTCTGTGAGCCAGGGAGGAGAGACCAGATGACATCTGTGTGCTGGACCATGTGGCTGCCAGGCCAGGCTAATTTGGCTCAGAACACTCTGGATCCCCCTGAATTCTTGAGAACCTCTGTGGGCACTGTCAGCCCTGGCGTGCAGGTGCATGTCCCAGGACTGTGCTTGTTGCTGTTCACTGTATAATGTCTCCGGATCAGGGGATAGACGCACAGTGAGGTTGTGTTCAGATACCAAATAGAGGAGTTAGAACTTCCTGTGTCAGGGGAAGGATTGGAGCCTGGCCTCAAATTTGTGCTGCTTCACCTCCTGCTGTTTCCTACATTTAGGATGTACTGACTCACTGGGGAAGGATCGGGGCTGTGCCTGCACTGGGGTTTCTGGAACTCCACTGTAGGCACAGACTGAACTGTGCTTTTGTTTCTGCCCCTGCAGGCCCTGCCAAATATCGCTGCCTACATGAAGACCAGTCACTTCATCCCAAGACCTGTGTTTTCTAAGATGGCCAAGTGGACAGGAGATTAGGGTATAATTTCAAAGATAGTATAGGCTTTGGGCAGCTCAGTCTCCAGCCTTGCTTGAGCTTTCTCAGTCCTCTCTCTGCTGCCCAGCCTGCTGCACTCTGTCCTCTAAGCCAGCGCCTCCCATACAGACCCTAGCCAGCCTCAGCTCTGCCCTCTCCCTCAGCCACAGCCCCTGGGCTATTTCTCCTACACTAAGGCCCATACTATGGCTCCTACTCTGCTGTGAGGGGCCTGAGTGGCCCTGAGCTCCGGACAGAGAGATCTCTGGGCCTGTGCTGACCCTGCTCCAGAGCAAGGTCTCCATTGCACTGCGTGCTCCCTAGGAAGCCTGAATCTCAGCCTGGGTCTGTCCTCTTCCCTGAAAGCCCTGACTTGGCATTGACTGTGCTGGAGTTTCAGGATCTTCATTCTGTTGCCACAGCAGGACCTGGGGAGCAGGATGCTGTGGGTGGGTGTACCTGGTCAGGTGAGGTTAAATGGTGTGCTGGTCATATCTGTGCCCTGTGCATGTTGCTCTGTTCCTCTCCTTGGTTTCTTCCTGCTGCGTGGCTCCTCATTCCTGGATCATGGTGTCACGGTTTGAAACCTGATGCAGCTTGGCTCTGTTTCTGAGAGCTGCAGGGTTGATAGGGAGGGGCTGGCAGTCGTCAGGCAACCCACTGGGAGCTGCTCCAGGGTGCTTTCCCTGACATGGATATTCCTGGTCTATATTTTCAGAATGTTTCTCAATAAATAGTGTCACATTATCTATAATTGTTGTACTTGTTTGTTTGTTTTTCTACACGAACTGAGAAGAAGTCAATTAACAGAGAAGAGAATCCCTCCGTGTCTTCCCTGTGATATGTGTCATGGTGCCTGGCCTGCATCAGGTGTTCAGGAAGTTTGGAAATGTGGAAGAATTGCCTCCTGGGAATGCAAAGCCAGCCTGTTCTGCCATGAATGGGACTTTGCGCTGTGGAAATAACCATCTGGATCTGAGGAGGTACAGAGTCACATGCAGGAGATTGTAAGCATTCAGGGATCAGAGAAGGTACCTGCAGCTGTCTCTCACTTCACCGTTAAAGGTGCTGCACCTGCCCTTGAGACAACCTTCCTGAGATGGGCTGGGCTGGGCTGGGCTGGTTTGCTGCCCCATGATGTGGCACTACAGCAGAACCTGGAATTCCATCGGAGGTCACCTGCAAAGGAGGAAGACTCATGTGGTGAACGCATATGGAATAGCCTTCTGAAATTGGCGGGACAGTGGTGTACTTGACCTTGGTGTCTTAGTGCAGGAGGGGAGTTTGCACCAGTGGTCAGTGCCAATAGCTGCACTTACTAAGGTCAAATAAAAGGTAGCAACAGCGTGTCTCTCTCTCCCTCCCCTTTCGAGAGGCACCCCACCTCCCAGCTTCCTTTCCTGAGGTGCTTTCCCCTTCCCTCCCTTCCCTGCTCACCTGGTCCCTTCGCAAATACACTTTTCTGTTTGCAACAGATTCCTGGCTTTTAATTTCTATACTGAGCTGAGGAAAGAACCCACTGGGCATTTCTGGTAACATATTTTCCTTGGCGCCCAACGTGGGGCATGAAAAAGAGACAGGCGGGAGCCACGTGGTTCGGCTCAACCAAGAGAAGACTTTACAAGGTATCTTCAGACTCCAGGTGTCCTTGAGCACACAAGCTCCTATGACAACCAAACCAACTTGTTCCATGGCAGCGTAGATGACCTGAACCATCCCTCTGGATCCCACATTTCTGTTCCCTTACCCAAACCATGCCCAATTTCAGCAGGAAGCAGCCAGAAGACATTGTTGCCCTTTACCCCTACAGAAGTAGGATGTGGGGTTTCAAGAGGGGGATCTGAGACCATCCAGGCCTGCTGAGGTCTTGGCCAACCTTCAAGTGGGCAGCAGCAGCATTGCCCACCCATTTTCTAACTAATGAAGAGACCACCAAGAGGGAACATCTTACCTTTAGGTTCCCCACCCAACAAGGTAGGTTCAAGGAAGGCTTAAAATCCCAAAGCTTCCTCAAATCTTTGTTGTCTCTCTCTCCCTCCCCTTTCAAGAGGAACCCCATCTCCTGGCTTCCTTTCCGGAAATGCTTTCCACTTCCCTCCGTTTCCTGCTCAACTGGTCGCATCACAAACTTTTCTGTTCGCAAAAAAAAAAAAAAAAAAAAAAAGGTAGCAACAACTGTAATGTAAAAAACCATTAAGCAATAGGTGAGTGGAAATTGGTTAAGTCTATTTGATTTGAGGACAGACATGTTTAAATGTAACGGAAGATCAAAGTGACAATGTGATTAAAAAACATAAGTGCATATACTTGTACACTAGTACAGGATCAGAAAACATTTTCTTTGATGCCCAAGATTTTAGGCTTTCTGGGTCATGATTTGTCACAGTTACTCAACATTTTGGTTTTCAAATGTCAGCTGGGCCTGATGGTGGCCTAGATGCTGAAGTCCTTGCCTGAACATGCCAGGATCCCATATGGGCATTGGTCCTAGTCCTGGCAGTGCTGCTTCCCACTGAGCTCCCTGCTTGTGGCCTGGGAAGGCAGTCGTGGATGATCCAAAACCTTTGACCAAGCACCCATGTGGGAGACCAGGAGTAGGTTTCTGGCTCCTGGCTTCAGATTGGCGCAGCACCAGCTGTTGCAGTCACTTGGGGAGTGAATCGTCAGAGGGAAGATCTTGCGCTCTGTCTCTCCTCCTCTCTGTATATCTGACTTTCCAATAAAAAAAAAAAAAGAAAAAGGAAAGTCAACTGTACAGAATACCTGAAGGAATGGATGCATGTGTTCCACTAATATTCCATTTACAAAACAGGTGTGTCAAAACAAAACCCAAACAACTCAATTCTGAAATGGGTGAAGCATTTGGACTGACATGTCCCTCAGATGATACACAGATGTCAAATAGCACCTGAGAAAGTGCTCCACATCACCAATTAGAGCAAGGCAAGGCAGAGCTAGACTGAGTTACCACCTCACACTCATGGCATTGGCTGGGACACAAAGCAGAACAAAGGGAGTGCTGGTGGGGTCTGGAGAAACTGGGACCCTTGGCTCTGTTGGTGTGAATGCCAAAGGGCCCAGCATTGTGCCAGTCAGCACTGTTCTTTCTCAAAAAGTGAAATTATCACTTGCTGGCAGCTATTCCATTTCTGCTTAACACTCAAAAACACCAAGTCCTCGAAGGGCTGTGTGTACTGCCATGCTCATAAGAGCACCACTTCCGACACGATGGGAGCCTCCCAGGTGTCTCCTAGCAGAGGAAGTGATAAGGACAGCTTGTACACACACACAGGAGCAGGCTCTACTGCTCAGCCCTCATCAAGGAACTCTGAGCATGACACAGCCTGGGTGACCCGCGAGGACACAGGCTCAGTGATGTCCATGTCACGGCCACAACCTTATGATTCCACTGACAGGATGCAGTTGGAGAAGACAAAGTCATAGAGACAGGAAATGGGAAAAGGGTCAGGGCTGGGGATGGGGAGTGTTGGTTTTATGTTCCCACCTACAGTTTTACAGGACAAGAGACGTAAAAACAATGCTTAGAATGATCATAAGGATGCTCCAGGAGATAAAAGAAAATGCAGATGGTTGAAGAAAATAAGGAAGATAAATCATGACATGACTGAGGAATTCGGTAAAGAAAGAGATACTGAAAATGATTCCTCCAATCAGGAAAGAAATAGATACTGAAAATGACAATTTCATAGGTTTTAGTAATAAAGAACTCAAGTTGAAGGATAAAGTTTTTAAAATTGATGAAATCAAGCAGAAGAAAGAATGTTGAAAGATAAGGACAAATTTTTGGTATATCACAGTGAGACAAACATGGAGATTAAGAATGCAGACAGACTCTGAGACACTTGGGGTATTATGAGATGAAACAAGACGCTAATTGTGGATGTCTCTGACAGCAAAAAGGAATAGAGGCTTAAGAAATCTATTTCATGACATGACAGCTCAAAATAGCCCCGGTCTGGAGAAATATGTAGTTCAAGTACAGGAGCTCAGGGAACATCAGATGCACAAACAAAAGACACACAAATGATTCTCACTGTGACTCAGTGTAGTTCTGCTCTCAAAAGTACAACACAGAAAGAAAATCCTTCAATTTGTAAGAGGAAAGTGTCTGGTCATTTTTAAAGAAGCTAGCAGGCATTCATGTCAAAGTTTTCAGGAGAAATTTTACAAACCAGGAGGGAAACGAGATATATTTTAACTTCTCAACAAAAAAATGCTAGAAAGCATGAATATCTTTCCTAGCAATGTTAACTCTCAGAAATGATAGATAATTGGATCTTTATGAGATAAGCGAGGCAGTCAATTCATCAGGCCAGCTTATAAAATGTGTTTACGGCAGCCCTAAGAAGGGAAGCAAAGACAGATAACAACCATCATGAACACCTGTGCGGCCGGGTGCACTAGCATAGCTACTGTAGTCCTCACCTTGAACGTGCCAGTGTCCCATATGAATGCCGTTTCTAATTCCAGCAGCCCCACTTCCTATCTAGCTTTGTGCTTGTGGCTTTGGAAAGCAATGGAGAAAGCTCAAAGCCTTGGGACCCTGCACCCACGTGGGAGACCCAGAAGAAGCTCCTGGCTCCTTGCTTAGGATTAACTCAGCTCCTGCCATTGCGGCCGCTTGAACAGTGAATCATTGGATGGAAGATGTTTTCTGTTCTCATCCTTTCTGTATATCTACCTTTCCAATAAAAATAAATAAATCTTTTAAAAAATGTAAAGCATGTTATTTAACTTCATGGCAACAACACATTATGAATGTGGTACCACTGCATTGTGTGCCTGGTACCTATGCACTGTGAAAATGAGGAAGGTGGCTCATTTTAGGTACAATAAGGAATAAAATACTTAAAACACAATGAACAACAGGTGGTCACATTAAGCTATTTTAAAATGTCAAAATGAAAAAAGTTTTTTTGGCACAGAAATGTCTAAAATCCATGCATTTTTTCATGATTCACATTTTTTCATGAATTGTTGTTTAAGTTCCCAGCATATGTAGGCTTCACAATCCTTTTGAACAAAAATCAACTTATGTTTTCATTCTATTTTCCATGTGCTTTTTTGAAGTCCCCTTAAACTTCTCTTTGATTTCAAAGCTCAAATTCAAAGGGTATTTTGGTGCTGCGTGGTGAATACCAGACCTGACATAGGAATGCCATGTTGAGTTGGACTTCTTCTTAAGTGAGGTTCCCTTGACCCCTGAGACTGTAGACCAGCTAGGAGAGTCAAAAGGAAACATGTCCCTTTTGGCAAAACGCTCTAACTCCCTGCCTACTTTGTTCAAGCTTAACCAGGAGAACAATCAAGTTCCACATGGTCCAGTCACCAGGGCTTGCAAAGTCAGCCAATTTCCTATCCTTAAGTTTCTGTGCATTTAATGCAGTCTGAGCTATCCCCTGAGGGTCCCTCCCCAGACACCAGCCTATGGCTTTGGCTTTTGTAAACCTTGCTCTTCTGCTCTTTGAGGTTTAGAGTTCTTTCTGGCATAAGCTCACTCCCACCACTGGCTAATAAAGGACTTTCAGATTTTTTGTTTTAAAATGATGTTTAGATAGTTGATCAGAATGGGAAGGATTCAGGGTTAGGGAGAAGTGGGTGTGATTACTGTTTTCAAGCTTTATATTTCTTCTTCCATTACTGGGGGTGAGGCGGATGATAAGGGGAGATCCATATCCAGCCTTCCTATCCATCCCAGTACCACAGTGTCCCAGTGTGGTACACGCTCCAAGG